CCTGCCGATCCGGACTCGGCCCTTGTCAAATTGGTAAATGACTCCCTTCCCTTATGGAGAATCGATAAGGCAATTAGCAACCCAGGAGAAACGTTTAATTTATATCTGCCCTGCCTGGGAAGAATAAGGGGTGGGTGGGGGCCGACGAACCTTTCGATGATTAAAAATAAAAAAATAAAAAAAAACCTCGACAAAAGCCTACGAGAGTCAGCCGGCCGAGGAAATATTTATAACAATTAAAAATACCTTTTTCGGAACGCTGCGGCTTCGCCATCGGGAATCGATAAAGCAATTAGCCGGGCGCTCCCGAAACCGAGGTTTAAAAGAAGTTGGTTCAAAAGAATTGAACCAAGCAAAAGAGGAGAAAAATCACAAGGAGGGGGGGGAACCCAGAAAACACCCCCCCTCCCCAGGATTGATTTCGGAGTCCGAGGGGTCGGCAACTGGCAGCCAAAGGCTCCAACCCCGGCCTGCAATTTGGCCCGTTCACCGGTGGCTTTTTTTCCTGCAAAAATGAAAGTCGGTTCGAATCTACAATTCCTGCCTAGCGAGTTGGCCACTGAGAGGGAGAAGCCGCACGCCTGTTTACACAGATTGTCCTCTAGTTACGACTACAACGGCCTGAAATTTCCGTTGCTAAACGAGACCGCTCTTAAGTGAGTTTCGCCCCATTTAATGACCTCTGGAACACTGCGGCCATCATAAATACGAGTCGGTCGCCGATTTCGGACACGTGACCAGGGAGATGCTGAGTGCGGAAAGCGGTCCTCAATCTCCTATTTTTTCCCCCAGGGTCGTTGAGCAGGGGTTGGACTAGACGACCTCCAAGGACCCTTGAGACTCTCTTATTGTGGCGACTTCAAACGGTCACTAAACGGTTGTAAGTCAGGGACTGCCTGAATGAGCAACAACAAAGTGAGTTGCCTTGCCTTGAGAAAAAACAAAAATTGGGAAACTGACCTGAGAAATCCCGACAGCAGCACCTCAATTTCGGTGTGAGTCCGGAGATATTTTTCATTGTTAATTTTGCTGTTGATCTACAGAAAAAAACACAGATGCGAAAAGAAGGCAGAAAAAAATATCAGTCTTTCGAAGCGGCCCCCACATCCAGGGGCTGGCTTCGTTTCAGCTGTTCTGTTCCTAAAATTGCACGTTCGGCGGTCCCCCTCCTTATAAAAACCATCCTACCCTGCAGGGTTGTGTGGAAGATGTAAAGGGCTAAGGCTGAATCAGTCTCCGAATGGAATCATAGTCTGCAGCCTTAACGTCATTTTCCTAGGGGTTTTTTTTCCCTGTTGTTTTGTGTGTCTGAGTGGGTGCGTGTGTGTGTGTAAAAAACACACTACTTGGTAATTGTCCCCCAGTTGTATAACTAGTGTCAGAATAGTGTTTTTCTGTTCTTTGGAGCCTTTCCCAAAGATGCTAAAATCCCTTAAGCTTATGCAGCTAATAATAATAATATAATAATAAAATGATAGTAATTAAATAATATTTAATAATAATAATAGTCCCAGGTCCTTGATAAGGACTCGATAGTTAGGCAAAATGTCAAAGCCAGTCTGAACATGTGGCTGACTGATTAATAATAATAATAATAATAATAATAATAATAATAATAATAATAATAATAATAATAATAATAATAATAATAATGCTGGCAGCAACCCGTGTCAACCATCAGCGCCAGCCAATTTGAATGTTCAATTTTCTGAGGTTCATGTTTAATGAATAAAAGATAATAATAATAATTAATAATAATAATAATCTGAACCCCACAGATGTAAGAGAAAAAAAGGGAGCCAATCCATGAAGGAATAGAAAAGGGTGTGGGGGGGAAAGGCTTAAAATCCACACACACGTAAGAGAGGCAGAATTTTCTTCTCCCAAATCTGGAAAACGAGTCCTAAATTGCAAAAACCTTTGATTTTGGTGGCTACATTCTGCTTGCTTGTTCAAAATAATCCTTCCGAGGGGGCCTGTCCACATTCCCACGTTTTTTTATCGCGTGGAAACAAACAAACAAAAAAATCAAATCACACCGAGGGCTTCCTCCTCCTGTCTCCGTAAACATTTCAGAACAATTCAAAGTTGTCTTTCTTTCCAAGCTGACCCACATTCGCACCCCGAAACTCAACTCAACC